CTAAGTTCTGGTTTGTTTCTAATTGAAAGATTGGCGTAAGACTTGAAACGCACTTCTAAATCACTACCACTTTTATATAAAGTGTATGAGCTTTTTGGTTTTATTATTAACGGAATATTTTGGTTACTTGATTTGCCATACCAATATTCCATTTGCACACGCATCCGGTTAGGAATAAACCCCAACCCTCCAGGTGTTTTTAGTCATCTATCTTCCACATTATGATTTCACCCACATCAAAAATACATATAGGCATTTTCGCTAATTTCTCGACTTGTTTCAAATTCTTGGGTGTCATTGAAATAAATTGGATATGTTTTTGTTCTATTATTGACCTCAAAATTAAAACGATATTTGTCTTTTAATTGATTAAGTGTTATGTTATGACGATCGAAAAAACCACTTATTCTTACTGTTCTTGTTTTGATATCGTGTTGATATGGCGTTGAGTCACCCAGGGTGTTAGTTTCCAAGTCATAGTTATAAAGACTACCAACACTCGTGCTTACACTTGGGAGTTTTACCTGATTATTGCCCCCATAATCGAAACGTCGTGAATGAGAAAAGAAAATAGTGGATGTGTACACATCTATCCTTTTTCATTGTCTTGGCGGAGGTGGAGGCGGAGGAGGCGGATCTAATGGGGGAATTATAAGACGCTTTTCACCAATGATGTGAATGCTGTTTTCACTTGCTTTAATGTAAATATAACCCTCATATTTTTTATCTCATCTACTTGATTCATTTGGGGGACGTGTTGCTTCTTTTTTATCAAAGACCCCAATGTCTTTATCGTCGACCTGTTCTAACCCAGGAACACGCCTTAAATAAAGAATAACGTCACGTTTTATTGTTCTATTATCATATGAGAAGTTATTGAATAAAGTCCCTATATCCACCAATGCCTTGGGTGGTTTTAAAGTTTCATCGACAAGATCCACTTCTAAATCTTTATATTCAATAGGATCAGGTTCTACCAAATCTTTCGGGTAGTTTATTTGTATTTGTTGAAAAACTTCGTAGAATGAAAGTTTAAACGTATTGGTTCAATTTCTCAAGCTGTTTGTGTAAGTGGCATTTGTTTTAAATGTTCCCGATCAGGATGAGAAGTCTCCAAATGTAAAGAATGTGATCCCCACGTTAGATTTGCCTAATGCCTGAAAATTCAATGCATCTAACTTATAACCGTTCTCTTTTGGTGGTGCTGGTCTACATCTACTATTTCAGTTATGAGTGAACCCCAACTCTGTTGTTTCTCTTATTTTGTTATTCTCATCGAAATATTGATCCGTCAATGTGAAATTAAAAGCAGCACTCGTTGCGTTAATGCCAGAATACATATACTGGTCATTCTCGTTTTGTGCTTGAAAGATTTCCAATGGCATCACATATTCTTGCTTGTTCTTTGAAGGTTTAAATGCTGAACCGAACGTTGGTGCTATTGTTGGCATCAATAATGGGATGGCATTTGTTTCAAGTCTGATCTTTTCTTGTCGTCATCCTGATGGAATTCCCAATCAGTTCATCATTCATGACACCGCACCAAAAAGTCCACCCACCAATGGAATACGTGTTATGTTTCAATTGATAATGCTTTTTTTCTCTATTGGTAATTTATCAAATGCCGATAAAGCAAAATAGTTATGAGATAAGAAAGTAGGCAGATATTGTGGTTGTTTAAGTTCCATTCGTTCTTTACAATAGGGATTATGCCTGGCATCTAAAGTTATAGGGTTTACGTTATTGAAGTTGAATTTGAAATCAGCATCAAAGATCGTGTACCTAAACATACTATCGTTCTTAACAACAGGGTTAGAATTTAGCATTTGGAATTTATTGGTAGGTTCAATTGTTCCTTCCCCATCTACTCATAAATTCAGATGTGGAATCCCTATTCCATTCTGCATTTCAATCGTCCACGTAATCTACCAACGCTAATTTAAAAGCAGCGGCATAGTAATTGGTCTCCATCTGCTTTTTATTCATTAACTCATTGGGTAATGGTTCATTGACTAGGTATGGCAAAAGCATCCTTGGTCTTTCTAAATAGTGAGAGAATTGCCCTTCACCATATTCAGTATCGAAAGAGGCAGGTCTTCCCATTGCCATTATGGATCCGAATGCTGTTAGACCATTAAAGTCTAATTGCACTTTCTTTATTGGCACATCCCTCATAAATGCACTATCAAAGATTAAAGTGTTGCCCTTTACCACGGGTTTTAGTATAGTGTCCCCAGGTGCCCCTCAGTTAATAAATTGGTCGATTGCTTTACCTGATTTGCTTATTCTTTTGTTAATGCTTCTGAATGTGATCGAATTGACGTAGAAGTCAGTCTCTAACCACACTTTATCCACATTGTCAATATATAAGAATTGGTTGGTTAATTGTGGTATTACATAAATGAAATCAAAGATGTCTTTTTGGTTAATTTCGTAGGATGTAAATACTCTCACACTTTCTTCCACTGTAAAGTTAAGAAAGTCCTCACCTACAAGATTAGCACCATATATTCCTTGAATTTGATTGGATGTTATTGCCCCTAAGAAAAAGCGACCACATCCCCTACTTAATTCTGATAGGTCAGGTTTAGTGTTTTTGTCTTTTTCAACGTCTTCCCATTTATCGTAGGACTTCATTTGATTATTGGCGAAGTTCCTATCCTCAAAGCATTCTTGTTTTGATTTGTCCCATACTCATTGTCTTAGGATCTTTTTTGTTTGGAATTCTTTCTTTGTCTTTTCATCCCCGTTGTATGGAATAAATAACTCCATCGCCTGGTCTCATAAGACAGTCAGGTTTTCTTTTCCTGTAAAGACTTTTTCTCAAGACATTTGATCCAAGAGTTCTATTCTGTTAGTGTTATTACCTAACTCACTCAGGTCAATGAACCCAGAATGCCACTTTAATGGCACGATATAAAACGAATTCTCTGGGGTGTGTATGTATTGACGTGCTTTGTTTTTATGCTTTGCACGTGTGATTATTTTGTTAAGACGTGACATCCGTTAATCTTTCTTGTATTGTCGTTTTAGGTGTTTATATTCACGATTTTCTACATTCTTTCCGACTGATTCCTCGTCATTGGCATGCCATTGTAATTCTCTATAATGTTTTTTTCTGGTGCTAACTGATGCTCGTCTAAATCTTTTTGCTTTATCTGGACCTCCACTTTGCATAACTTTTCTACACGCATCTTGTCCTGACGCTCCTTGACGTCTCATATTTCAATAGATCGCACTCTTTGGTTTTTTTATCATTTGTCAACTTATCCCCTGTTTTTTTGTTTTGTTTCTTTTATTTCTTTTGCTTTTGCTCTATTTGAAACATTATCGGCAATTGATTCTTTGTCTTGGTGTTCATCTATAGTTCTTGTTGGTCTTTTTTTGATTTCTCAATACTTATTTGTTACTGCACTTCTGTGCTTATTGTATCTGCCTTCAAGATTTCGTGCTTCTTTAAATGTGGATTTGTATTCTTGTTTTCCCATTGATAATTGAGCTTTCATTTCACCAAGGCATTTGTTTAACATAAAGGGGTTTGCTTTATCAGGACCGCCCGACTTCATTACTTTATGGCAAGCTTCTCTCCCTGAAGCACCCTGCCTCCTCATATTTCAATATATTGCTGACTTATTGTTCCTCATCTATGTTCTCACTTTCCGGGGTTGTTTCCCCTGTTCCAATGTCTTCCATTGCTCCTTGTGCATCCTCGTCAGGTCCCATATCTCCCATTCCACTATCCATATTGTTTTGTGCTAACTCCATTTGTCCCACTTGTTCTTGTTCTCTAAAATAGGTCAATGATTTGACGTCTTCTTCTCTTTCACGATCTATTTCTGCTTTTATGATTTCAACTTCCTCTTTGTCGTCAAGGTCACGTGCCATTGCTATTGCCTCGGTTCTACTCATTAGACCACTTTCCATATTTTGTACTAAGAATGATGTCAATTGTAATCTGTTATAAACCACGTTGTCTTTGATTTCAATGCTCACCATATCACGTGCTTTTTCTATGTTCTTATACATCCCATTAAACACTAACAATTTGGCAAATAGATTATTCAATAGGTTTATCAGTCTTTGTCTTTTTTTTTTGTTCAAATTCGTGGTAGTTTTAACAATATACCCCCATTGTTAAAGGTTACTAGCCCTTTTGATTGTTTGTTTTGGAGCTGTCCTGACAATACTGGCTAAAAAAGTGTGTTTCGATACTTCATCAAGTGTCGTCGTTATTCACTCCAAATCCACACGAACCCCGTAGGAACGTGAAGGAAGAAAATAACGTAACAACTGGTGTCAGAAGAAAAGAAAAACACAACAATATTGTTCTAAAAGCAAGAGCCTCAGCTCCAACTTAAAGAATTCCATCGAAATACACCTAGGTCACTCTTTACCAAAGTCTGTAATACCGGCATTTTGCAAATTATCTATTTAAATTCCTACTTCGATAAGCTTACTTATGCTAATTTATCATATGTAGATGCTAATTTATCAATTAGCATGTGTGGCTAACATGCTAATTTTAAGGCATGCTAATTTATCAGTTAGCATGTGTGATTCGCTTCAAATTTGCTTGTGTATAACGTAATATCTAATTCTTTATTTATATTAGTATGCATCCCTCTGTAGATAATTGAATATCGTTATAGATAATAAGAAAAATTAAAGGTATGCATGACACACATTTTTTCAAATCCTTTTACTGCAATAAATTCATGAAGTAATATTTGTTTTGTAAAAATACATTTGCAGTTTTTGATTAAATTTATCGTAACCATAATGTTGTATTCTATTTTAACTCAACGCAGCTGCAACTTTATATTGTGTTTTACACATCTTTATCCAGCTTTATACTAAGCATGGAGGATAAATGTTTTAGTTTGTAGACGTATTTCTTTGTTTGTATTCTAGATTATTATTGTCATCTCAGAACAAATTTTGTTAAATTGTTTTAAAACGCTTGCATGTCCTTTTTAATAATTAATGCATTTTAACTAATTTATTTATTTTTAGAATTCCCATCCAGACATGGTACAGATGATACCATATATTCTACCCTTGCTGTTGGGTAGAACGTTTGATTTAGACAAAATGCAAGTTGGTGTCGATATATTTCCTAAGGAAGTAATTTCGAAGCCTGTGGTAAGCATGAAACTCAATTTTCCTTTTTGAAAATGCTAATGTATAAAACTATTTTGTCTACGCATAAAACTGACATGTTTCTTTGTGACTAACATGAAAAAGATATTATTTTCGAATTTTTATAGCTACCGAATGATCGTTTTCCTCATTCCAAGTAAAATAGTTCTGCTAGTAAATAACATTTCATTTAATATTTAAACATAAAAGTTTAGTTCAAAAGAAAATGCCGCGCTTTTGGTATAGTGGTTAGGAAAGCCTGACTGCGATGCCGAAGGGTTTGCAGTCAGGGTTCGAATCCCGGAGAAGACATGGTTGTAACTGTGCGTACCTTCATAGGAGGCGATGGTGGCCCACCTATTAGGTGCCTTCATAATAAAGAGACTACCACATCTGGCCTTGCATAGATTACACTTGTAACTGTTCACAATCTGCCATTGGGGGAAAAAGGTTCATAAGAAAAGAAGCATTTAGTCACCTTAAATCTTAAATTTCTGATTTCTTTCTCTTCTCTCCATTCAGCTGAGATTTTGTAGAACTTCAGAGTTTATTCAAAGTCTTCTTATAATAATAATTCAAAATCCATAGAATATATTTCTGGGATTTTGTCGAGAGGGGAATGAAAAAAAATTTGAGAATCCGCTAAATCTCTTTCTAGAATTTAATGAGAAATGCATTGAAAGAAATAACGTTTTCCAAATTATTTACCAAACGTAATTAAGCCTTTTAAGCTTAAGAAAGTCAGTAAAACATAGATTATTATTCTAAAATTAATGATAAACAAGTTTATTTTAGTTTATTTGAATATGGCAAAGCATATCAGTGTTATCTGAATAAAGGAAGGGATACCTTCGTAGGAGACTTTCTGAGGGAACTGACTCATGTCACACATTGGAAATACCACAAGAACTAACCTTTTAACTAGCCCGTTCTCTTGGCTTCAAGAGCCCCGAAATACCAGCATGCAGCTGTCTTAATGATTAGGCCAGTGGTGTATTCTTATGATAAACCAAAAAAAAAAGATTAATTTCAAGAAATTTTCTTTTGTTTTTACGTTCTTTGTTTCTATGGTAATTTTAAAGTAAACTGTTTCCAGTCTGATAAGAAAATACATATTCTTATATATTACAATTCATTAATATTAAAATTCAAAATATTTTAATGTACTTGGGCAAGGAAATAAAGTCAAAAGCAATTTATAACAGAAAATTAATGCTTTTCTTAATCCAGCTTGTACGCATTATTAGCTTCTAGAAAGAGGAAGAATTACTCAAATAAAGCAAATTTTTGAAACAGACAAAATAAAAGTATAAACAGGAAATACTCAAATCTAATTATGGGCCACGCCTTCAAAATAAAGTTAGCAGATTTTTAAGTTTTAACTTCATATAGGGAAGACTCCTTCCTGCGTATTTCATATTTTGTCCTTGAAATAGACACTTAGAATAAGATTCCTTTGGGTCGCTAAAGCAAAAATCTCTCAAATACGAATAATACGAATATTTTTAATTAATGATACAAAACCTCATTTCTAAAGATATTTCCACTTCTTAAAATCTGTAGCATATTTTGATCCTTGTACCATTTGTGAAACAAACCTGCAACTGAAGTGTAATTTTACATTTTTGAAATTTCTTGTCATCGCTGATTACTCTATCTGATGTAGAAACATGAAATGTTTCTTAATTTCAGCTTATCCAGAAACCCATCACAGAAACGCATTACAAAATTATAGACAACTCCGTAGAAGCTCGCGATCTACTAGATGTAGAAGGTTCTTTTTCGCTCAAAGTCAAAGCGGGGGTCTGCAAAGCCGGTGCTTCAGGTGCTTATCTTGCGGACACTTACAATCGAGAGAACACTGTAGATGTGGCCATCAAAGCTAGCTATGAAGTGGTATGTCTTTCGTTTTCTATTTTAGCAATTTTGATTGCTTCGGTTGGTATTTTATTCATTTCACCTCACTGATGAACCTCTTAATACACTCAATCGAGTTAACTATGGTTACACATAACACAATTACTTCTAAGTACCCGAGTAAATATGTTAAAGAGGTACTTACGTATTATCCCGTCGACCGTGAAAGATGGCGTAGACCATCGAACCATGAGCGCTGGCGGTTTGGTTTGCTTTACTTTATTTGATTACTGCAAAGTACTCGAGGGCTATTTATCTAAGGAGAGGGATGCCTTCGTGCAGGTCTTTCTAAGGGAAACACGTCACGCATCTGAAAGCTGGCAGGGATGAAACGAAAGCTGTGGCAATCATTCCTACGGAATTCTGAAGGGATTGACGTCTGTTTATTCAATAAACAATCGGCATTCCATCCACTTCGTTTTTGTGCTTGGTAAAAAAGCTATCGTAAATTTCGACTATTTTGTTAGGTCCTCCGATTTTTCGGGAAGCTCTGCTACAATGCAAAGCTATCAATACAACTTCTCGCAAGTAATTGTTTTCAATCTATTACTGCTTTGTCGACCATTCTCAAATGGCCTTATTGTGTCCATTAATATACATTTCTTTGATGGTAGGACACCATAACTTTGAAAATAACCCACTGCTTGTAGTTCTGTAGAATAAAGGTCCCAAAATCTGTTCATTTTGAAAATGAAGAAAAAAGTAAAGCTGTAATGTCTACGAGTATAGCTTCTGGTATGACAGCTAAAGTACGTGCAGGAACCTGACAGAAGAAAAGTTAAAAGAACCCTTTATTAAAACTCTTTAAAATTCACAATGCATCGGCTTGACGCTAACACACGGCCCACACGCGGCAACTCAAATAACAAGAATTAAACTAAACATTCAAAGATGTTAACAAATAGTAGAATTACTGTACAGGGCTTTGAATAATCCTCTTACCTCAAACCGCGTCGAAGTAGCTAGTGGCAATGTGGCTCATGCTACAAAGGTACAACGTTTCTAACTTTCCCTTCTAGAATTCAGTATTTTAACCTTTTTTCATCAAAATTTTGCTTATTTAATTATGGCAAAGCACACTAGGGCTATCTGCCTAAGGGAAGGGATGCCTTCGTGAAGGACTTTCTAAGGGGAACTGGCTCGTATACACGTTACACATGGGGAAAACCGCGAAAACGCCCATGCAGCCAGCCCGTTCGCAGAATTCGAAACTCGGACCGAACTACCAGTGTTCAGCGACTTTTACAGCTCGGCCCCTGGTGGGCTTTCTTATCAAAGAAATTGGATTCCTTTCCTCGCGCTGCCAAATTTAAATATTCTGGCATTGACAATTAGAGGAATGAAGGCTTATAGGAAAGAACGCAAAATTAAATTTAATTCGTTATTCAAAATAAATGTAAATCCCTACAAAGCAATAATAATTTATATGCTTGTTCATAAAAACGAAAGGTGGCTTATCGAGAATCACTCGGTGTTACTTTGAATGAAACCTAGATATTATGAGTGCGTTGTTTCTTCGTGCTTAGCCATAACTGGCAATAAATCGTGCTGCCATGCGACAGATTTTTGTCGACAGTATAATACGTAAGTACCGTTCAAGAATTTACCAAAAAAAATGAATAAATAAACAGATATCAGTACAATATAATGTACCCACTATAGTCTTGAGTTATGTTAAACAAAGAGGTTAAAAGAGATTGAGGTAAAGAAAAAGAAAATTGGCTGAAAAAAGACCAACATTAGAATTTTTATAGGTGCATTAAGGGCTACTAGTGTGAGCAAACCTCTTTGCGAAACGGGGCAAATAGGAAGATTTAATTAAAGGGTTTTTACGCATTTTAGAATGATTTCGATACAATTTTTTTTTTAAAAGGAAATGTTTTAGAATAAAAATTTCTGCCAACAGTTTATTACTTGAAATCAGAAATATCATCCACTTCTTTTAAATTTGCTCTACTTTCAAAATGCCGCATGGGAGAGAAAGCTGTGGATTGAAGAATATGTCATTGGGCTTTCCAAAGATGAATATCCCTGTTCCAGAATTCAGAAACGTTCTGAAGGGCATGGTATTAAAATTTCTAGGTTCAAAATAAGCAACGGTATTCACCGGAGAGGGGAAAACTGTCAGTTATCACTTCTACATAGAAAGCAGATTCCAAACGAATACTCGAAAAATGTATGTACTGTTTATATTGTTTCTAAAGTTAAATCATTGGTAACGAGAGAAAATCCGCAGACGTAGAAATCAGTTGCAAAGTCTGTAAACACATCTGTAGCAACAATGAATAAAATAATAAACCAAGATTTACAAGTTAAAAAAGGGAAAACGTAAAGCTCACCAGCTTTCGCCGAGGTAAGTGATTCAACGCAGAACAGTTTGTAGAACTCTATATGGAAACTATTTAGCGGGATATAAATAAAAATATAAAACAAATAGAAAAAATACAAAAATCTGGTTCTGTCAATGCAAACGTTTCAGTAAGGGATTTATGATTATTGCAGGGTTCGCTTAAACGAGAAATTAAAATGGAAGCGTGAGAAAAAATTTTAAATAAACTGAAAGTCTTATGTCTGAAATTTAGAGAAAAATTCCATTTCTTTATCCCAGTGATTTTCAGAGAGTGAAACTTCAGAGAGTCAAGACAAAGCAACAAGTCATACTTCGAAAAGTATCACTGCATTCCTTGAAAAAAGGAAGACTGATACAAGTATTGTATATATGCCTTTTCAATTATTTCTGTGAAGTCTCCTGAAGTTCCATCTATGGATTATTGTGCCACTAGTCTCTTGAAAAAAACTCCTTCTAAGCGCAAACCCGCCACGACGCATGGCCTCTAGAAAGTAGTGGAAGAAGAATCAGTGCTCTTAAAAATTTTACGAAAAGCCTCTCAGTCGTAAAAAAACCGAAAACGTAAAAAAACTTATAATCCAGAAAAAATGACTATCAGATCGAACATTTAAAAAAAAATCCTCTTTACATTTTAAACATGAATTAAACTGCTCCAAAATCGGCCTAAAAATGTATAAATGGCCTTGTGTAACATTTGGTTACTGAAACTCAAACATAACTGCTACAACTGTGCCTTTCTTCTCTGAGATTCTTCACTTTAAAACTGCGCACGTGAGATTCAAAATTTAGATTCATCTGCTATTGTTTTAATTACGGCTTTATATTTTAAGTGTCCATTCATGTAATTAAATAATATATCAAAGTATTCAGCAAATACTTATCTGCCACTTAAATGCATCATACAATCCACTGCTAAATAGTATTTAGTGATTGTCTAAGACTGAAACTACTGCCCCAAAGAATGAAAAGCAACGATTATGATATTATTATGATATTTCTTAGCAAATCGATTCTGATTATGAGGAAAAATATTAAATAGTTGATCGTATTCTATCAGAGTTGCTACTGACTAATACGTGTCATTAATTGACTAATACGTGACTAATAAGTGTCATTTCAGGCTGTCCCATTTCAGGCTTTCTGGAGATGGCAAGTATAATTGTGTCATTTTAGGCTTATTCTTCGCCTTCTTCAAAAATTGCACATTTTTAGTCTTTCAATTTTTAATCTTTCATTATAGTTAGGAAAAGACTTTGCAGGAGTAAAATTCTAAGGTAAAGTTCGCGAATTTTAAATTACTCCCAAGTATAATGTAAGCGAAACAAAGAAAGCCGAAGAAAGGAGGCATTTTAATGGTTGAGCCATGAGTCCTGATTTTCTTTTTTTTAGCCCCACGGGTGTTAGCCCAGAAGGGCTATTAATTTCGTTTTGGCGTATTGCGTTGATTCACTATCAACGGCGAATCACTTTTTAAATTGGTGCCACCAAATATTAGAGCCCTGTATTATATTTAAAGAAATTAAATAATGAAGTATCTGCATAAATATATGTATGTTTCTCGCATTGTGATAAAAAAAACTTTATCTACAGCCATCCAACTTTGAATAACGTACGACTCCACCCGAATATGGGTATCTGGAAGCCCAAATTTTGAATTTTGAATTTGTTTTATTATCTGTTTCCTATTTCGTAAAGCATTTATGAGTTTTTCGATTTAGAAACTCAACGGTTTCAAAGGTAAAATCGTACAGGGGAATAAAAAAATTTTTTATCTCCTACTCGCGAGACTGTGTATCGGAAACTCTAAAAATATACTATTTTAAATATTTTGTGATATTGCTGTTGAATTGAATTTTATGGTTTAAGCGCGAAGAACATGGTATTTAATAAATAAAGATAACACACAAAATGTTGAGAAAACGCCGCTTTGAGCGTTTGAACGCCTCTTTGATTATAAATTCTGAAAGCTTTCAGGGTTTTAGTCCTAAGGAGCTTTGACCCTGAGGGACTACTGTTTTCGTTTTGAGACTCTAAATGTTCGTTTCACTTTTCAAACCGTTGCCACCCAAATATGGCAAGAGTTTGAAAAGTATAATACAACAGCTCTGTATTATATTTTAAGAAATTAAATAATAAAGAATCTTCATAAATGTATATATGTTTCTCGCATTGTGATAAAACAACGGTACCTAGAGCCATCCAGTTTTGAATGACGTAATCCTACTGCGAATGCAAGGCATCTGAAAGCCCGAATTTGAAATTTGGAATTTGTTTTATTTTCGATTTGATATTTTGTAAAACTTTAACCAATTTTTAATTAACAAACTCAAGAATTTCAAAGTGAGCAATGGCAACGTTGTAAAGAAAAAATATTTTTTATCTCCTGCGCGCGAGACTGTGTATCGGAAATTTTAAAGATATACTCAATTGAAAACTATTTTGCGGTATGGCTCTTGAACTGAATTTGTGGTTTAAGTGCGAAGAACGTAATATTTAATACATAAAGGTAACACACAAAATGTTAAAAAACGTCCTTTTGGTCGTAATTTAAAATCTGAATCTTTTCAGATTTTATTTTTTTAATCCTTTCTTTTATTATTATTTTTAACCTTATCAAAAGATACAAAGG